TCAAACAGCTGTACTCAATGGAAACGTTGGGTTTAGGTATTTACTTTCTTAAGTCACTTTTCCTAAAAGCAAGACTATGAATTGAGGCTTTATGGCTCCATCCATTTTGAAGCTATTTTCTCTCAGTTGAGTTAATAGTGAAGTCTGTCCTTAAATATATTTTTTTTCAGTCAGTTATCCACAGACCTCAAGTGATCACTCTTTAAGGTCTGCAAAAAATAAGTGGGAAAAAAGAAGCCCACCGTCTGAAGATTCACTGTGCCTAGGTCTGTGTCTTCCCTGGAAGTGTCTTAGGGTTATGAGAATCAAAACTTATGAAGGGCCATCACTTTAGTTGCAAATTGCTGATTCCAAATAGGATAATAGAGGTCACTTTGTTTAAAAAAAGAATCCAAATGTAGAAGGAAAAATTGAAGGGCTGTTAAAAAAAAAGGCAAGTTTCCCTTGTATTCTAGATTTCTGACCTGCATAAAATGAATTTTGTACTAGCATGTATACTGATCACCACAATACTACTTATTCTGAATACAGAAGTATTACTGCATCTAAATATGATTTAATTGGTTCAATTTACTGTATATTTTTTATACTGAGTGTAGTTCCATATCTTGATGAGCCCAGGTGTAGTTGTTCTTGTGGTTTATAGCATCCCATTGCTTACATTTTATTATTTTTACAAAGCAAATATCTATCAATCATAGAGATAAATTAGAAAAAAATTGTGCAAACATGACATATCGCTTAGATTTTTCCAGCATGCTGTGTAATTATTAACCTGATTTTTGCCATTGAAAGAAGCCATGAATTACAGATAGCGTGGCTGAAGTTAAATGCTTTTATATTAGATACGTTTTCTTACACAGTATTCTATAGGTATGGCCATACAATATAATTGAAGCTTTGTCAGCTCTGTAGCCTAGCAACAGATAATACTGTTAGGTTACTGAATTGCTCCTGGTTGACAAGTAAGGAGTATTTTTGTGTTTATCATGTTTGCTAATGATGGGATCCTTTCCAAAAGGCTTGTCTTAATCTTAATTAGAGTTTATCAGCAGAGGTCTGCATGACATTGTGCAGACACTGATTTCATAAATAATAAAAAGTGCAAGTGAAAAATTTGGCAGGAGAAGAAGATATTTAAGACCACTGATTCTTGTAAGAGCAGCATGAATTTCCAAAATGTAATCAAGTTTGAACTGTGACTCTATTCTTTATTATCAAAACTTGCAGTACACTCCACTGCAGTTTTGACAGCAATTATGATTTATAAGCTTCCTGCTAGGAACCAGATCTGTTTGCACAAGAATCTTGATCATAAACATTACAAAGAACAGTAAGTCCACAGTTTTCAGGGACATCAGGACCTTACTTTCTCCTTTTCGTAGAAAGTTGGTTTGTTTGGTTTGGGTTTGGATTTTTTTTGTTGTTGTTGTTGAAGGGTGTTGGGGTTTTTCCAATCAGCAGAAATATTTGCAGTGAAAGATGCAGACAAAGAAGAGAATCCTGAAATAACCTTTCCATTTGGTGGAAACTCTGAAAGTATCAGATAGCTGCTTCAGTGCCTGATGTCATTTGATAAAGAACTGATGCCAATGCAGTTGGAATGTAATCTTTTGCTCTAGTTCGCACAACATGATATTCTTTAACTTTCCCAACTTTCAGTGATTAAATGAGCATTTGTAATTCCTTGAAATATGAACTAGATAAAAAGAGTTCAAATAAATACATAGTGTTGACAGCCATTTTTATTCTTTTCTTCTGTTTAGCATGTATATACTATGAATCACATAAATTTCTTCAGTTTAACCATAAATATAAAACAATATATTGGAGGCTCAAGAAGCTTATTTCCAATTTCACAGAGTCAGAACTAGACTTCTAGAGAAAACAGCTTCACAATGTCACAAAGCCTTTTTGCATTTCAAAAGCTTTCCTTCTCCATTGGAACAGGAAGGAGTAAGCTTAGAACTTCATCTCATATTCACTTAGGAAATCTTCATGACTTTGCAAATATTTCAAGCAAACATCTTCCTATCTTTTTCTTCATTGCCACTGATACTTGGCAAGGACTTACATGTTATCCTTTTGAAAATCTGCTATTGACACTGCCCTTTGCTTTATGAAAAGATGTTGGGGTCCTGAGAAATTACTGTGTATATGTCAGTGCTGTCTTAGCATGTGGAAATGTTTATTGGAAGCAAGGTTTTCTTCCTGTTTTGTAACTACCACATGTCAGGAAGCCCTGGAGCCTGGCAGGGATGGCTAGGCAGCATAATAATTCATAAGGTAGTCATGTTTGGAACTTCCTGTTAAAATTGAAAGCTCCTGCCAGGTTCTCTGCACACCATTTCCCAGACTGTGCAGTAGAAGGCTCAAGAAAACTTCCACTGTTTTCTTCCTGTGCGTGAAAGCCAGCATATTTGTGTTCACTGCAATGAGGGGAAGAAGATTATATCTTTCAAAACAGCAGCTATTGCCTTAATCTGTGCAAGCAAGCATAGAAGGGGACAAGAGGGGAGTACTGCGTCAGAGGGGGCTATCCCTGCGTGTGACTGTTACTGCAGAGGTGATTCACTGTATTCCATTAGCTGGAAGAATGCATCATTTGAGGGTTCATCTGGGGATTTAACTCAACACCATATCATGTACTGATGGAAATATGGACATATATGGCATGATCACTTAAATGCCTCATTTTCCATAGAGTGGGATGGAAGAAAACAAAGTAACAATGGAATTATTGGAGCTGAATCCAGGAGTGGATTAAATTTCTGTAATTCTGATTTCCTTTAATAAGCCAAGCTGGAGATTGTTGTGCTTCCAGAGCTTTCATACATCCCATGCGGCTGTGCCTGCTGTAGGTGTGACAGCCTCCAGGAGCTGGGTGGAGCAGGCATCCGAGGTCACTGCTCGCTTCAGCTGTTTAATCTGCTGCTGGACGTGAGTCAACACCCTGAGGAGCTCTGACACCAGGAGGCTGAGTCAGCTGTTAGCTGATCCAGACTGATTGCAGCTGGAGACCCAGTAATCAACTACACTTTCTGGGGTTTTTCCCCCCAAGGGTATAGCATGTCAGGATGTTTGCTCGGATAGAGGAAGTCCCAGTTGGTTCTTCTGCAGTGACTAATTTTTACTTTATTAAGAAATCCAGTGAATAATGCAGTCTATGAAGAGCTCTTATTCTATGTCAAAATGTACTGAAACATGTTGGTTTATTATTACACCTTCTGTATATAAATAAAATAGAAGTGCACGCAAATAATGGAAACACTATTCTCAGAATGATGAACTGTGCAGAGTTTGCAGTGAGAGTACCCATTTTCAGGTCCTCAGAGTGCAGTGTGTATCATGTGTTAGTGTCTGCAAAACTAATTAAGAACACTTTAGGAATTTAGCCTTATTTTCTCTTGAACAGGTTTTAGACCAGTTTAACTCTGAAGGCTTCTGCATTTACTCCTGACTTATGCAGTAAGTCAGACTGAGCTTGTCAAATGTTTGGATTCGTGCTTGGGCATTAGGATTCTGCATTTGTAGGCATTTATGGCACTATCTTCACATTTCATCTTCTTATTCTCTAGAGGAAATTACTCAGATTTGCACCATTTAATTCTGTAATCTTGGAGGGTAGTAAACCTTAGTATGCTTTGGTCCCATCGCAGTAAATCGTAAACTTTGGAACCACCTTCAGCTCCTGCATTACCGAAGGGTGAATAGAGACACTTTCGTGCTTTGAAACTTTCACACCACTTTGAGGTCTGGAAGCTTAGCTTTATTTTTCTACCGAAACACATTGTCACTGATGCTGTTTTGTTTGCTCATCTTTGAAAGCTAATAGACTGGTTTAATTAATTGTCCAAGATTTCTCTAAAACAATGTCCTAATTCTTCCATTTAGCTGTGGCATATCATACACTGTTGTTATCTCCTCTACCAGATTTTTGCAACAAGTTGTTTTAAAACTATAATCTCGTTGAGGGGAAAAAAATGAAGTGCAGTTGAAAAGGCAGTTATGCCGAAAGATAAACACAGCAATATTACTTATCAAAATGAGCACAGTTTTTGCTTGCCTAATGAATACAACATATAGCTTTTTCTATATATACAAAACCTGAGGAAAAAAAAAAAAGCTTTGTAACATATAAAGTATGCAGCATTATTTCAGGCATAACTGTATTGGATATGTATCTAGGCCTGAGAGTGTAGATAACACAATATAAGTGCTTTGCCTGTCTAAACATGTTAAATAAATGAGCATTCACTATCGCATTCAAATACATTAGTAGATGTACTCGCATAGTTAATTTTCTTTTTAATGCACTACACGTGACATTTGCAGCACAGAGCTATAGTGTGTCTTACTGTTTGATGAAAGTTCTTCCACTTCCCCCCCTTTAAACAAATCTTTATTTGAATAAGCCTTTATGAAACAGATCTTTGGCATATCTTCTTTTCAGGAAGTTCAGTCAGTGTAAGCAGAGATAAAGCAGTCATGTTACAAAGAATATTACATAAGGAAAGATTTTTTAGAGAAAGAGGGTGGCAAACATAAGGGAGGGGAGGAACGCCCTTATGAGGAAATCTGATTTCTTTCTCACAGCTGTTTGGTTTTAATGTGCTCTGATTTGGTATTCAAAATAAAACATCATTGGAGTTACAAAAAAGGGTAAAAGGTGGCTGGTGAAAAGTGATGATGAAAAGAGTGCCATATAAAATACTTTCACCTATAGCTTGATTTTCATGATTTAATCTCATAGGAGACAAAATGGAAATTAACATGAATGTTCATGCTGCAAATAATTAGGAAAAGTATCTCCAAATTATTATCCTTGTAGATTGAAAATTCCTGTATTGGTAGAAGGAATACAGTAAAAATTATTTGCCTCTTTACCTTGAGCAAGCCATCAGAATTTAAAAAGAGACTGTAAAGATATGGCACTGATGTTTTATGTTCTGGAATCTGATATAGTCAATTAAATCTTTCTGCTTTTATGTTTCCTGTAGGAGGGCAACTTTGGTGTACCACGACCAAGGCCATCTCAGAGGGTGAAGAGCTGATTGCCTTTGTTGTAGATTTTGACTCAAGGCTGCAAGCTGCTAGTCAGATGACTCTCACAGAAGGCATGTATCCTGCACGCCTGCTGGACTCAATACAATTGCTCCCTCAACAAGCTGCAATGGCATCTATTTTGCCAACGGCTATTGTGAACAGTAAGTGATGAATACTATTCTCTGGTGGTTTTTTAAAACAGCAGTACTTTAAGGGCACATATGAAGAGCTAATACAGCGATAGTGAATTCAAGACCACAGATACCACACGACTTAAAAACCACAGCTTGAAGCCTGCTTTTGTTCCCCTGGCATCTCAGATGAACTCATAGACATAGAAAGGATCAAGAGCAGCGATTTGGTGTCTGGGTTCTGCAGGAGCCTCACCCAGAGTATCTGACCTGTCCTCATGTGGAGGTTCTGTGATCTGCTCCCAGAGTCAATAGGATCAGAAACTGTTGAAAAAGTAGGTAAGATAGGCCTGTTAGCTTACAAAGTCCAGCCTTTGCTTCTCAAGTAAGCTTGTGGCTTACACCTGCAGCTTCTGGTAATAATTTGTGATATTCAGTTGAAAGTAAGAATATATCTCTTCAGTGGCTGTTTCTAAATGCAGTGGAGATTGTACCTTATAGAAGCCCTGATTTACTGTACTATCTCAAATCAATGTGGCTACACAAGAATGTTTTACATCCTCTGGACATCAGTAGACCCTATCATGAACAAAAAACAGCATGTAATTAAGTGCTGTCCTTAGAGGGGACGCACACAAGTACATGATAAGACAGTTGTTGAACTGAGACAATTCAGCTTGAATGAAATTTCAGTTCTTTAACTTTTTATTATTAATTTTTATCATTATGTAGCCCTAGTTCCTCATTCTCCTAAGTACTTTTCAAATATGTTAGCTGTTACCATCATCCTCACCAGTCATCACTTAGATCTAACGCACATCCTTAGCTGTCAGCACTTTGCAAGCCTGCATATCTAGACCCCATCTAAGGTTTGTATTGTAATTAGATATAGTGAACTACTGAACACAGTATTTCAGGTGTGAATGCACATGCAAGCACATGATCTGCCACTCAGGCTCAGACCAAATAACATTTTGTCTTGAACAGTCAGTCACACCATCTTCAAGCTCTTCAGACAGGACTCATTAAAATATCTGTGGTAACACTCTTCATTCCATGGTTTCTGGTTTTATTGAAGGGGGGGGGGGGGCGTGTTGTGGTGTTTGTTTTTTTAATTTTGTATGTATGTTTTTTGGTTTTGGGGTTATTTTTTTAATTGCTTATTTTCTGGATAAACAGTCTTGATAGGTGCAAATTTATTGTTAGCCTGTGTTAAAAGATAAACCTTAAAATGCCCAAGTCATCAAATTCCTCCCTTCCAAAGAGTGTGTGAGATCAACCTTAAGCCCTTTAGCTAAGTGCATTCATTTTTGCCCCCAGCAGTGGGGCTGCTGTGAGCTGATATACCTCTTCATAGAACTAGCAGTTACCACCCTACAGGACCTTTCCAAAAGAAGGTGTCAGAAGTCCCTGAAGTGGACTACGTTACCACAGTTAGGGCAGACAAGTGTTTATAGCCAACAGCTCCAAGGGAGCCACAAGAGAAGAAGTTACCTAGCCTTTAGGGTAAAGTCTCATTCACAGCTTGTTTCAGCTGAGGGTGTATTTTTTGTGCAAATCTACAGGAGGCAAACTCTGGGCTTTAGCAGAACATTAACTTCAAATAGCCTTTATATGTTTTGCATTACTTCGGGGTAGTAATAGTTTCAGGTCCCATCCCTATAAATTGTTCACCATGGAATCCCACCCTCTCACCATACAAAACTCCTGAAATACATTTCCTCTGCATGGCATCTAATGGGAGTCACACCCTCTCACCATACAAAACTCCTGAAATACATTTCCTCTGCATGGCATCTAATGGGAGTCACCTGTTCACCAGCTCCATAACTGGAGCAAGAGAGCCATCTAGCTCATAGGAAATAACGATAGCTGGAAATTTATTAAAATAATCAGAAAGTTCAATTCTGTGATGGAATGCAGTCACATTAATTCAAATAGGACTTGATGCAGTATCAGAATTTCTGATAACTATTTTTGGACTTTTCTATGGAAACCTAGCAGTTCAATTCTTTAAACCATTTGAAGTGAAAAACAAATGCTGAAAAATCAGCTTTCACATGAGATGGTGTTGTGGTTTAAACCCAGTCAGGCAACTCGATTACTCACTCCCCCCCTTCTTTCCCTCCCCCTACTCACGGAGGGATGGAGAGGAGAATCAAAAAGAATGCAACGCCCACGGGTTGAGATAAAAACAGTTTAGTAACTAAGGTGTAACACAAATCACTACTGCTACCACCAGTAATAACAATGATAAAGGAAATAACAAGGGAAGAGAATACATCACCTCACCACCAACAAACCGATAACTCTGCCCCCCAGCCCGACCAAGCACCGACCCATACCTCCTCCAACCCCGCAGTCTCCCAGCCCTTCCGGCTAACTCCCAGTTACATCCTGGACATGATGTGCTGTGGTATGGAATACCTCTTTGGTCAGTTTGGGTCAGGTGTCCTGTCTCTGCTTCCTCCTGGCCTCCCCTCCTCCCTGGCAGAGCATGAGGCTCACAAAGTCCTTGGCCAAACCAAAACGTCATTGTTATCAGCTCTGTTCCCAGGCCGAAAGTCAAAACACTGCACTGCACCAGCTACCAAGAAGGAGAAACATGACTGCTACTGCTGAACCCAGGACAGATGGACATTTCAAGTGATGCAAGCTATATCAGTAATAGTTTAATAGTGGTATATACTGGAACACTAACTGCTTGTTGAATGCTTATGCCTAAAAATCATGCACAGTTATTCTGTGGCAAAGGAAAACATAGAAACTGGTAGTGGTGTAAATATTTTATATAAATTCATGAGCAGAAAAATAGACAAGCATTAGCAGTGGAGTCAAAGCAGCAAACTAAGCAATGTAAATTTTGGCTGCATTTGTAGATATTTAACAAATAAAAGACTCATCCATTTTGGTGTGCTGGAGCCTTCAACTTTGTTCACTTTAAGGAATTGGGAGAAAGCAATTGTCCATTGTCCTATATTCATGAGTATTTGAAATTAAACATATGATTGTCATGAATAATGAATTACATCATCAGCTACACATGTCATATTTTCAGAGCAGCCAACCATCTTCAAGACTAACTTAATTACATTCACTAGCAGCTTTTTTGCATTCTGAAGTCAGTGGGAGTTTTGATGTTTTTAGGGGGCCTATAATGATGCTGGGGAGGGACTCTTCATTAGGGACTGTAGTGATAGGACAAGGGGTAATGGGTTAAAACTTAAACAGGGGAAGTTTAGATTGGATATAAGGAAGAAGTTCTTTACTGTAAGGGTGGTCAGGCACTGGAATGGGTTGCCCAGAGAAGTTGTGAATGCTCCGTCCCTGGCAGTGTTCAAGGCCAGGTTGGATGAAGCCTTGGGTGACATGGTTTAGTGTGAGGTGTCCCTGCCCATGGCAGGGGGGTTGGAACTTGATGATTTTAAGGTCTTTTCCAACCCAGACCATTCTATGATTCTATGTTGACTGAGGTGTGTTTAGATGTTGACTGCAATTGCCCATTCTCTGATCTTCAGGTCAGCTGGCACAGTCTGGCTTCACTCACAATTTTATCCTCTCTTAGTCTCAAAAACAGATGACAAGTGACCAAACCAGTTGTAGGGAATCATCCTTGACCTGTGGCAATTCTTGTGCTGTATGCAGGAATGGCGAAGGCATTAATTGATTTAAGCCGAAAGTGTGGAAGGGATCACTGTCGTGATTTAACAATACAAACAAGAAGTTCCAGTGCTCTAGTCAGGCTCCTGTCACTGTTTAATTTACTAGTTAAGATGTACGCTAAAGGGCTGGGATTTCTTCCTTGTTATTACTGATAGGGTGGCAAGTTCAGCTTTCAGAAAGACATTTTTTGTCCTTCTGAGATAGCTACACAACATGCACTGTTTAGATGCCATTTGGATAGGGTATTAGCAATCAAATATCTATCTGCTTTATGTGAATACACAGTATTCATTATCACTCTTCACATGAGTAAAGTATGCAGCCCTCAGTGTATGACCAAAATATATCTACTCCCTCTGCTGCTGGGAAGCACTCTGTGCAACCTCTGCATTGTCTTCCCCTCAGAGAGGGTGCTGACATTTTGGGATAGAAAGCAATGAAGAATTTAATCACTCTTAGTAAATATCCTTTGCATAGTGAAAAGTGTAACTGTTACAATTTACCAAAAATAAGAAAAAGAAAGTACATTAGAATTTTTAACTCCTAATATTAATAACATGAGGAACCCAGGAGACAAACGTGCTGCTTAGTATAATATTACATTCAACACTGTAGGAAACATAATCTATTCTGGCCTCCTGGATACCAGAACAGCAGGATTTTACAGTAATAACTGCATAAGCATTCTGAAAATACACATTCTTCAGAATGATCTGCAGTTAGCACTCAAAAATTCCAAGGCCCAATGCTGGAAAGACTTGTGCGTACGGAAAAAAAAAAAAAACCTGCAATTGAAATATGTCACTTATCGGTAGCGAGGTACTGGAAATGGAGCTTAGGTCCTGAATGGGTACTGCATATTCACAACAAACAATTTAATTTCATTCTTTTAAGTAATTACATGCCAGAAACTTTCAGCTGTTTTTTTAGTAGCTATTTTTAAAATCTCCTTCTGAAAGAAACAACTGTCTCCCACATTCATTCTCCCACCTGCAAATGACATTTTCATAAACCCACGGTTCTGTTTTTATTAAATAAGCATGTATTTAATAGGGAAGTGAGGGCAATTAATCCAGCTGTGTTAATTGGCTGGCACTGAGTACACCATAGCTAACCTGCACCTGGTTGTGTTTGCTTGTAGAGGACATATTCCCTTGCAAGTCCTGTGGCATCTGGTATCGAAGCGAGCGGAACCTGCAGGCCCATCTCATGTATTACTGCAGCGGGAGGCAAAGAGAGGGACCTCAGCTGTCAGAAGAGAACGAAGAGAGTGCTCAGCAGATATCCAGTGTCTGCCCCTTTCCACAGTGCACCAAAAGTTTTTCTAATGCAAGAGCTCTAGAAATGCACCTAAATTCTCACAGTGGTAAGTACCATGTATTTTCCTGTATTATCTGCTAGATTTAGCTATTTGAAGAATTATTCACTGTAGACATTCCGTGTCTATATATCCCCATATACATGTGAGTGTTGGGTGTAGACGCTACCGAAATGTCAAGAGTTTCTGATCTGCCTTCTAAACCAAGCACCTCTCCCAGGTAGCCAGTATCATTTCTCTTATCTACTAATCCTCATTTGAATCCTGTCTCTCTCTTAATATGTGTATACACGCATACAGGCAACATTACTGGTGAAGGTATGCTCAGGAATCAGACGCATATTGCTGCTATTTCTCTGAGAAATTCAATCAATTACTTCAGGATTCCATCCACCAAACATGAGTCTGCTAGACTACAATCTGTACTATCCTGTTCTGATGCTCAAGCAGAGAAACACACCCTCAGAGAGCAAGTCCTGCTGAAGTAAGATCTTGGAGTCCTAGAGTAGGCTTCTTAGGAGGCTTTAAGGACCAGGGACCAACACTCTATGGACAGTGTGCTTTTCCCAGAACACTTGTTTCATAAGAACTTAGTGTTTTATAACAATATTCTTTTTCCTCTTTATAAAATCGAGATAGTATTTTAGAATCATCAAATCATAGAATTGGTTTGGTTGGAAAAGACATTGAAGATCATTCAGATCAACAGTTAATCTAGTACTGCTGAGTCCACCACTAAGCCATGTCCTCAAGTGCCACATCTGCATATCCTTTAAATACCTCCAGGGATGGTGACTCAGCCACAAGTTTGCAGAACTTTCTGCACTGGAGCTTTCAATAGCAGAGAAAACCTACAAATAAGAAAGACCACAGTGTTAGGTTATGTGGGGTGTGCTGTCTAGTGTACAGAGCTGTGTCTGGAAAAAGGCAAGGGCCCTACAGGAGTTCTGATCCTCCTGTTAAATGGATGGAGTCTAAAGGACACTAATGTGGGCTTTATTCACAGAATAAAGCTTTATTTGGCTGCAGTGTAAAAACTCCTGGGGAAGTAGGAGTCTGCTGTATGGACTTGGTGCAGTGAAAAATATTTCTCTGATACTTGGGCAGCAATTACAACTCTAGAAGGCATTGTGTTTCCTTGGAGGAGTTTGGTACCTACCAGGAGAGAAGAGTGCTGAGAAACTTTCATATGTACACAACATGGACAACACTTAGCCATTCATTTAGAAATCAGATCTTTCTGTGCTTCCAGATCTTAACTTTGAATATCAGGCTATTGTCATTATCTGTCTCTAACATAGAAAATATTTCATGATTCAGTGAAACAGCAGAACAGTAGGAACAGCTTCAACAAGAGCAGGTGAATGAAGCCCAGCATGTATTATAGCCTAATAATTAAGACCAGGTACTTTTGGAGCATAACAAATTCATTTCTCCCCAAGGAGAGGAAAATCCTGAAATATTAGCCATTGGATAAAAGGGTTGCTTCAGCTCTTTGCATTTAGTGACATACCATTGACTTAGGTGTTGAAAGTATCACATGATGTGGAAGCATGTGAAACACAATCTTGTGGCAGTGGAGGAGCTCAAGCTTCATATGGCCTCCTGGTGAAAAAGTGCCTGACAGAGAACTAGCACCGATTAAAGTGCTGTGTATCTCCTGAGCTCCCTTTAGGCCTCTGAGGCAAAGAATAGGTCAAATTTAAACGTTGCTCACAACTGTGTGAGTCACTGATGCTAGGGGAGAAGCAAGGACCTCCAGGTACAGCAGAGGGACTTCTCAGAGACTGAACCACAATATTCTTACAGCTTTTATTGGCCAACTACCATGAACTTAGTGATCAAGGCATGGTATGTGTGTGTGTCTGTGTAGACAGAACAAATATCCATTTTAGATTCTGAATATCAGCCCTACCAACATTTTTTCCATTTTTAATGTCTAACAGGTAATCGAAATCTGTCTTATAGCAGTAGAGAAATTTGGTCTTATCTGTTTTTAAAGCATTTTCAGTTTCTGTATACCGTGAAACATGTTTTTGTGTTTCAGCAATGATTGTAAGGTGGCTTTGAATGTATTGTTCTTGAAAGGGAAAGCTGTACTGATTTCATGAGGAAAAAGTGGTGTATTACAGCATTAGTTGTCTGTGGCCATTATATGTGGAAGATAAAATGTTGGTGAAGCCGTATCTTACTCTTCCTCCTCCCTTCACAATGAATGCGACTCATCAGTCCTTTCTGATGAGGATAGATCTGTATCCTGTTCCCGCACTACAGCCAAGTCATGCAGGCAAAGAGCTGAGTGTCAGTAATGCTCAAAATGTTCCTTCTGCTCTGTCTGTGGCTTTCAGACACTCTAAGTTTGAGGGCTGTACCTCAAGCCACATCATAATCTTGAGCCTCTTGACCTTGATGTGCTTCCTGGGCATTCAAAACTTCCAGTGATTGTGTGTGGGGAACATTATGTCTCCTTTAGTTAAAACTGTAATTTCTAAGACCTTTTCATTTAGAATAAATCCAGTCTATTTTTATTCTTTCCCGTGTTTGTTCTTTCCCTTCATCTCTGCTAAACGCATGCAGATACTAAGGCTCTCCAACAGAGAGAAGTCTGGGAATATCCTGTAGCAGTTTGAGGAAAGAAATTCTGAATCACTTCAAGTATTTGCAGGATGACTGATACTATCCCATCAGAAGAAAATTTGTTGTTCTCACTGTTCCTTCTGTCCAACTGATTTTCACAAAGGGCAAAATGGTCACTTTATTTTGTATTTTACTTGTTTTTTTTCTATAGGAGTGAAAATGGAAGAATTTCTCCCTCCCGGTGCTAGTCTGAAATGCACAGTTTGTACTTACACTGCAGACTCGGTGATTAACTTTCATCAGCACCTGTTCTCGCATCTTACTCAAGCTGCTTTTAGATGCAATCACTGCCATTTTGGCTTCCAAACTCAGAGGGAGCTACTGCAGCACCAAGAGTTACATGTCGCTGGCAACAAAATTCAGAGAGAAAGTGACGTCGAACACTCTCCAAGTGGAAACGAAGAAGGTTTGCAGCCAGCAACGGACCTGCTGAGCAGAAATGATGTTCCCCAGAGCCAAAAGACCATGCAGACTAAAGATGCAAGTTCTGATACAGAGCTTGATAAATGTGAAAAAAAGGGTCCCCTTTTCCTTCCAAACCAGAGGCCAGAAACCCAGCCTGCAACAAATAAGCAGAGTTTCTCATACACTAAAATAAAATCTGAACCATCCAGTCCAAGACTTGCTTCATCGCCAGTTCAGCCTAATATTGGTCCTTCTTTCCCAATGGGACCTTTTCTTTCCCAATTTGCTTTTCCCCAAGACATCACTGTGGTTCCTCAGGCTTCAGAGATATTAGCCAAAATGTCTGAACTGGTCCATCGAAGACTAAGGCATGGAAGTAGCAATTACCCTCCTGTAATTTACAGTCCTCTGATGCCCAAAGGGGCTACATGTTTTGAGTGTAACATAACATTCAATAATTTGGACAACTACTTGGTACACAAAAAGCATTACTGCAGCAGCCGATGGCAGCAGATGGCAAAGTCACCAGATTTTTCCAGTGTTCCAGAAAAAATACCAGAAGCTGTAAGTCCCAGTAATGGCCAAAGCTCCATAAACATCCTGAATGCAGGTCCCCACACGTCAGATCCAGATAATCAACTTCTGCAGACATCTTGCATAAATTCTTCTAATGTTTTAGATTTGATTGGGCCAAACAATAAAAGTCATGAAAAAGACTTTACAGCACAATCTAAGAAGTTGTCAGCTGCAAGTAATGGTGATGATAAGATAAATGGGAAACCTGATGTGAAGAATCCCAATGCTCCTTTAGTAGAAGGGGAGAGTGATCCTAACAAGACCACATGTGAAGCTTGCAATATTACTTTCAGCAGACATGAAACATACATGGTCCACAAACAGTATTACTGTGCCACTCGGCATGATCCTCCACTGAAGAGGTCCGCTTCCAACAAAGTGCCTGCCATGCAGAGAACAATGCGTACTAGGAAGCGAAGGAAGATGTATGAGATGTGCCTACCAGAGCAAGAGCAAAGGCCACCACTAGTTCAACAGCGATTTCTAGAAGTGGCTAATCTTGGCAATCCTTGTACATCTACTCAAGAGTCTACAGAGGGACTTGGAGAATGTTACCATCCACGATGTGATATCTTTCCAGGAATAGTCTCAAAGCATCTGGAAACTTCACTGTCTATTAACAAGTGTGTTCCAGTTTCAAAGTGTGATACTCCCCACTCTACTGTGTCTTGCTTGGAGATGGATGTGCCAATAGATCTCAGTAAAAAGTGCTTACCCCCATCAGAGAGGACATCCACTTCTCCCAAAAGGCTGCTGGACTACCATGAATGCACAGTATGCAAGATCAGTTTTAACAAGGTAGAGAATTACCTGGCTCACAAGCAGAATTTTTGCCCTGTCACTGCCCATCAGCGTAACGACTTGGGACAACTCGACAGTAAGGTGTTCCAAAACCCAGAAAGTGAAAGAAACAGCCCAGATGTCAGTTACGAGAGAAACATAATCAAATGTGAGAAAAATGGAAACTCAAAACAGGCTTCTCCTAATGGAAACTTGTTTTCCACACACTTAGCAACACTTCAAGGACTAAAAGTCTTTAGTGAAGCGGCCCAGCTTATTGCTACAAAAGAAGAAAACAAACATTTGTTTCTTCCACAATGCCTTTACCCTGGAGCAATAAAGAAAGCTAAAGGAGCAGATCAGCTTTCTCCATATTATGGAATAAAGCCAAGTGATTACATTTCTGGTTCTCTCGTCATTCATAATACTGATTTAGATCAAAATACAAATACAGAAAGTGAATCTCCTAAAGGCCAGGTGCCTTCAAATGGATGTGCTGTGCAGAAGAAAGAGTCTCTTCCACTATTGCCAAAAAACCGAGGCATGGTAATAGTTAATGGGGGACTAAAACAGGAGGAAAGACCTGCCACAAACCCACAGCAAGAGAACATTTCCCAGAATCCTCCACATGAAGATGGGCACAAGTCTCCTTCTTGGATCTCTGAGAATCCCTTAACTGCAAATGAAAATGTCTCTCCAACAATTCCTACAGCAGAGGAACAGTTGTCTAGTATAGCTAAAGGCGTGAATGGTTCTACCCAGGCCCCAACCAGTGGAAAGTATTGCCGACTGTGTGACATCCAGTTCAACAATCTTTCAAACTTTATAACTCATAAGAAGTTTTATTGCTCGTCACATGCAGCAGAACATGTCAAATGAAACAATCAGTCACCTTTGGTACCTGTGTTTAGCATATTGTTCCATACAGTCTAAAGAAAGCTGTTTGAATTACATCTGGACAATCAGGAGATTTCACTATTGCCAAGTTGAAGACTTAAAGGTGTAATTTCATTACAGTCCATTAGTAAAGTGTATTATTGGTGCCATTTTCAAAACTATTAATTTATTTTACCAGCAGTATTCATAGCTGTAGTTATGTTATTTTTTATTTAAAAACTTTATATTAAAGTCATTTGTAATGTTATTGTATAGTTATTGTGTAGCACATATGGTTTGCACTGTATAGTAGATTTTAAAAAAAATAGTCGCAAACAATACAGAAGAGCATTTTAGAAATAGCTTCAAAAGCACTTGTGTATCCTGTTTTTTTTCTTATATGCTGTTGCAGATATATGTATATGCTAAAATATAACTTGCAAAGAAGTTTCAACTATGCTGTAGAGTTCGCCTTAAAATTTCAATTTTTTGAACAATTGGGCTCAGTTTGCACTTTATATTTTAGCAGATACAGTACCTTAGTCATTAGGCTTTGCATTTGTATGTAGCAGTATGTTTCTGTCCACTTTCTTAATCTGAAACGTACGTTAAATGAAGATGGCATTTTTTTTCTTGTATAGTACTTGTATTTTCTTTCGCTGATGCATCTCTGTCTCAATTTTTAAACCTTTGCTGTTAAATGCAATACTTTATAAAGAATGAACAAAATTACTGGAAGCAGTATTGTAAGTAATGAGGTCATATCAATCAGTTTTATCTTTTGAAAGGCACAGTCTAAAACAAAACCCTAAACTCAATGCTGCAATTATGAATCTAATTCATATATAAGATATATTTAAATATAAGAGTAGCAATACTGCAACTGGTGATCACAAAGATAATGTTCTACTTCTGATAGAAATAATTTCTCAACAAATGTTGTTACTATGCATGTATATGGATGGAATAAAATTCCAGATCATTGGAGAAGTTTGACAGTCATTTCTTTACATTTGTTTTACCTTGTTTTTCAAGGAGGATTTGGAGCTTACAAACTGTGAAGGGAAGCTCTCAGAACTAGGTAAACATTGCCACCTCTTCAATAGCAGCAAAGTGTTCAAAGAGAAAATTAGTACAAAAGATGCCTCCACTTCAAAGGAGTCTTTGCCGACAGGTCAGTAGTACAACTAAGTCAGACCACCTGGTGAACTAAAAGGGTGAAGGTCTGAAACCAGAAAGACTGTTCTCTCTACTTGAGCTCCTGAAGACTTACTTCACTGATAGTACCTCCATATGTCAGTCATCGAACAATCTGCTTCATAACACCACTGGCATGATTCTTTACGTCTTCAGTGGTCTTATATGAAAAACAATAGCGTTCATTTAAATAGAACAGCAGTTTGCTCCACTAATGCAATATAGAAATACTGTTCAATAATTTATGTTATAGAAAAATTTGAACAATTGCACAATTAATGCCCTTCAGTTGCAATTGTTCAGTCTCCTGAATGCTGTTCTCATTTAAAAATTCATACTATAAAAGTGACCTATTGAAGCATTTTTCATCCTACAAATTTGAAAGCAAAACCATGACCTGAATAGTCATGTAGAGTTGTATGTAATTTAGTTCCTGTATCAGCCAAAGAAACAGCACAGAACAAAATACATACAAGGATGCTATTTCAGCTTACCAGCCAGCTGGAGTCTAGTAGAAGAGTATGAAGTACCACTGATTGTTAGCAGCCCCATTTCTGTGTACTTTGAAACTGAATTTGTCCTTTTTTTCATTTCTAAGTGTAGGTACATACAATCTAATAGCAAAACCAATAGCTAGCTGAACTTTAAATGCAGAAGAAGAGTGCTTAAAATTGTGCTAATTCTCACTCTCAACAAAGGTAACAGGTGTTATAGGTTCATTTCAGTAGGGCTAAAATTGGTCCTATAGTAAATACTTTGGGTAATAAGACTTGTGAAGGAAAAAAAAGCATTACAAATACAGTGCGACTAAAGCAGACAAATCATTCATGATTATTAATTAAACATTTATTAGAAAGTATCACACCAATATATCTAAGACTCCACAATATTTGAGCTAGGTGGTACTTTTTGACCTCCTTGGTGACAAAAAAAAATTATCCATTATACAAAATTGGTTTAAAGAACTAAGAAATTGCATCTGGATTGAAATAAGCTAATTCTGAAAGGTCCACATACATAGATGAAAACTTTTAGGTGAAGTTGGTCCAAAAGCCACAGGTTGTGTAATTTACAGTTGCTGAGCTCTAGGGATGTGTTTAGACGATATGTAAGTAAAGGAGAATATGAGGGTTAAAGGGAATACGTAGCACAAAAGCAGTGCCAAAAGGAAAGAGCCTTATCACAAAACATTTCTGATCTGGAAATGCTGAGAGTACCTGATATATTCCAGAGGTAAATTAAAGCCTGCTATGCTGCATTATATTCTTCCCACTGGCTAGTCCAATTGCTTTACATGACAAAACATACCTGGTAGCGTTTTCTCGTTATAAATTTTCTATTTGTTTGACTGGTCCCATTTTTATAAGTTCAAAACAAGCACATCATGTTTATCTGTGGGTAGAGAGTTACTCCATTTTCTACTCATTTTACTCACCTCACAGGAGCTTTTGGCAGCTCTGACACGTGCTAAACCTCAAAGTTATGTCATCACACTCTCTGAAAGTAAAACTTAACACTAGCCTGATGGGTAGCAAATATAAATTACTGATATTTGATTTCTTATATATTTATTAAAATAGTATTTCATAAAGATAGCTGCTCACATAGCCGGGCTCAGGAACAATGTTTTCCCATAACTTCACACACTATTTTAACTTTTTTTCCCCCACTTTCTTTATTGCACCTATTTTTTAATTTGTTCTTCTGAAATAAGAATACAAACACTTTGGCCAGCAGAAATCTATCTCCTGTCTCTGAAAGCAGTTTTCACAATGCTGGCCTAATCTCAGCTGGGAGCTTTACCCACACCTATGTTTAAGTCACAGCAGGAATAAACTACTTAAACGTGTTTTCTGAACCAGTGATTATTTGTATTATCTTCAGATTATATCCACACATGTGTTCAAGGTGGTAATAGAACAGGTAAACTCCTATTGCTAAAAACTTTCCTTGAATATAGACTCTTTCCTAGTTCTGCTTTTAAGGTTTTGTGGGTTTTTTGGTTATTTCTTAAATCACCTGTGCAAAGAGGATCCATCCTTAGTGAGCCTTTGATACCTAGAACTCAGCAGGAAGCAGAGCACCTCGGTTAAATGGTTTGAATCTGCTAATCCCGGTCAGCTGGAGTCAGTGAGTAAATCTTTGGATCTGTTGAGTGGAGATGAGTAGCCTAACAAAAGTTATTCAAATATTTCCTGGCTTTGTGTTACAAAAAGTAAAATTGCTCCACATGAAGGCCTAGTATTTAGAAGAGCTGATTCCTGCCCAGCTCCCTGTGTACTGATTGCCTGGTGGGGTTTGCATTCAACTTTTGTCTTTTTAAGGAAGATTTCCTTATTCACAAGACATCCCATCCACATGTAGTGCTCAGAACTAGTGTGGCCGCATCCCTGTCTGTCTCATTTATTTGTCTGTATCCTGAAATTCAGACTTTGAAAGGCTGTTGTGAGTCCCCATTCATACCAGAATGTTCACACAATTGTGATGCAGTCTCTCACATTGCCATCTGATTGTTTTACATGATGGTGATTTTTCTCATTGTAACCATAAATCAGGTGGACATGCCTAATGCAAGCAGTAAAGTGAATTGCTACAAGTTGATGTCTGTTTGTCTTGAATTACTTGTAATAACTTTGGGGTTCTGATAACATTTTCTCATTGCTACAAATAACCATAAAACTACATCATTGATACTTGCTGTGCATCCACACTGCTAACTTTCCAAGTCTCTCATTTCTACTTAATAACTATTCACTACATTCATTGTCTGACACTGCCAACAGGAATGTAGTAGTCACATTCCAAACACAATCCGAGAGGACATTTGAGGTGATTGCTCCCTTGTACAATAAATGCTGCACCACTGAGAAATGCAGAAGGAAAAACAAAAGAAAACAAAGAAAAAAAAACAACAAACAAAAAAATAGAAAAAAAAAAGAAAAAAAAGCCTGATGAAGAAATTAAAATATTAAAGCCACAACCACTGTCGAGGTGGAGCAGGCTAATTCATTGCTCTGAATGTACATAAACTATGAACCAGAATTCACTCTAAAAAGGCAGACCTGAGGTGGTGGTCTGAACAGCCTGGAAAACCTGCATAAAGAAAATTCCATGGTGAGTACAACGGAAGAAGGGTGGTTTGGGATAATCTCACTGAGGGGGCAAAGAAGATAGAATTGGCACTTAATTAATCTGGAGAATGCACTATGGGTACACTGATGGCTGCAGAAGGCAGCAGTTGCAAGGCGTTAGCACTACAAAACCACTGCACATCCCAGAAAGCCTGTTGAGAAGGTCTAAAATACTGATAAGGCAAAATCCTTGGAAGATCACTCCCAGATGCTGAATACTGCCAGTGCAAAGATTCTGGCTCCTGGCGGTCTCACTTTCCCCAAGACTGACAATGAGGAAGAGAGTCTTTCCACCTCCAGGTCACCTTCATGGCCCAGGCATTGTGCTTGCAGGAGCTGTCAGAACAAACACTGCACAGAACAGATGCGTGTGACCATGTTCTACATTAGAGGTAAGTCAGATAGCCAAGCTTCAGCTATTTAAGCCTGTGAACGTGCCTGGTCCTCTTGTCTGAAGTCTTCCACGTAGCTTGCTGACAGTGCTTTGAATCCAGACCCCATTTGAGACCCCTTAGGGCCACAGCAAAATGAACCAAAATCATACTGGTTGCACTCATATGGAATGAAACAGAGCAGAGGTCAGGGAGGTGGGCAGGAAATCTGCACTCACATAATTAAAGTTTCTTCATCACATGGAGTCCCAGGATGAATGAATTGTGAATGGAAGTGTGAGATGAGCTTTTGAGCTGGGATGAACAGAAATAATTCTGACAGTTTCAACTTCTAAATACATGGTTTTCTTAATACACAGACACACATCTGTTATGTAAAAGACATACACAGAGAGATGAACATGTCCAAATGAGGCAAAAACCTAAACTAGATTAAGAAGTTGAATCAAGCAGCTGAATAAGGTGATTAGACAAATTCTTTGTTGAAGAAGTAACAGCCAGACCCTTTAATCCTCATTGCGTAGGTAACTGGCACATTTTGGTGCATGAAGGATGAGGACATGTTCATTTACTGCCAAATCTAATTGTCCTCCTCGCAAATTTGCTTTCTCCCTTTTCTGCTTTCAGCTGCTTTGCACAGGTCCTGGGCCAAGGTGCTTCTCCAACCTACCCATGCACTCATTTTTGCCACCTGCCAGCTTAGCTGGTTTTATAAATGTCTTGTTTTCTTTTCTTTTGGGCTTTTTTTGTTTCATTGTTTGGAGGTTTTTAACTGTTTAATCCATCTTGATTCAAGGTGCAGACTCAGGTTGGAGGCAGGTGAAAGGAACCACCTGAGCTGGAGTATTGGAGAGGGTGGTAATCTCCACCAGCAAGGTGGGGAAAGGTAGCTGCTGCCTACTTGACTGTGGGGCAGCCCATGAGCAAGCCCATGGAAAGCACAGGTCCTGCAGTATTCACATGACTCAAACATCTCAGCCTGGCAGGAGCCTTACACAGCACTATTAATAATAAAAAACAACAGCTCCATACCACTCAGTTTTGCCTGCAGGTGCATATAACTATGAACAACCATGTTCCTTTCAAACTTCTGGATAGGGGAGTATGAAAAGCCACAGGTGTGATGAGTAGAACTGGATAAAGCTGGAAACACCTTCAGAAGGAGTTCTCATCTCAGCTTTCCCAGTTCCAGGTGTTGTTGTAACTGTGAAGCCAGGTTCATGTAATCTTGTGGTGATGGCTGCATATAAATGCAATCACTCTTCAGGATCCCTAGCATTGCTACTGCTTTGAAAGCCCATCTGTCATTAAAAGTTTTCTCCCAGGATTTTCATATCCGCTAACAATTTCCTTGCTTTAACAAGAGAAATATCTGCATGTCAGAAGTTCTGTTCTGTAGTTGTGACCAGCTGACACAGAGCAGACTATAGAAACCACAGTCCTCAATCTATGTAGTGCCAAAAGCAGTCTTGCCACTCCCAGTCCTGTCTGAAGAGTGAGCCTCAACGGTTGTAGATGGAGAAGCTGAAATATGAAGTGGTAATAACAGCTTGAAGTCTATGTAGCCTTAAAATAGTGTCTCTGCATGTCTGGCTTATTCAGTCACTAGGGAGGATTCACCTGCAATTTGTTTGCTTACCCTTTTTTGAGGAAGCCCTGGTAAACCCCTTGCATTTTTAGACTTAAAGGGTATGAGGAAAATAGCAGTGGGCCAATTATATTGGCATTTGGCTTGAGGGAGAACAGACTGCTCCTTTGATGCTTTGACATTTTTGATCTCATGCTAATTCTGATGAAACTAACCCCAGGAGATACATTTATAGAATCTAATAAAAGACCTGTAGGTTCAAAGACTGATCAAGGAAGAAAACTGTTTTAGAGAGAAGCCATCTCAGCCTATGATTGATGTTGCTGTATTAGGGTAAGTATGCAAAGGGAAAAGAACATGTTGGTTTACTGCCACAAGTTTTCAAAGCAGAATAGAAAAGCCCCTCAAAAGATGTCTTTCAACAAAAAAAAAGTAAGAAGAATTTGGAAAAATGAAAAATCTGTTTAGTTGGGTAATCCTTGAACTCTTTTCTAGACCAAAGGAAGGCAACTCTGCAGCAGAAGTAAATTAGATTAAAAAAATAGATTAATCTAAAACTCCTTCCCCTCCCATTCCCTTAAAACCGAAAGCCCAACTCACAGCAGGGCAGTGTACACAGCAGAAGTGAGGTACAGGGTGCTGGGATGCAGCCACGTGTGCCCAGGGTTACCCTCCATGCCCTCACCACAGCTCATTTCCCACATCCTTAGTCTGGCAGGTCTCTCGTGGCTCAGCCAGGTGAGTTCTCCTGAAGTGCCAAGGACCTGCCTGGGCCTGGGACAGCTGCTCTGGTAGCTGTTCTTTGGCACTTCTAGAGGCCAGCAGAAACAGAGCTGTTCTCTGTTGGAGCAGCGCTGGGTAGAAGAGGCACAAGCTTTCCAAGTATATCACAAGAACATGAACATCTATTGCTGGCCAGCTGACACTGCACAGCTTGCTCCCTCCCAGGCTAACTCGCTCATTTGATTTGTTAGAAAAACAAGATTGATTTTAAAGGATTAAACATATAAAAGGCAAAGAGCTACCTGTTGGGAGGTGCAAAAGAACAGTATTTATTTTTTTAGGAGGTTTTCAAAATAGTGGTTGTTTTCTTTGTTACCTTTCATATTGTGTCTCAAAGAAACATAGAAATAGATCAGTGAGATATTTCTCTCTCTTCTTACTGCAAAAGCACAGTTTGGATCTCAGTGTTTGGGTCTTGTTGAAGGAGAAGAGATACCTACAAGGGAAGAAACATAGTTTAGCACAAGAACTACTGAGGGAAAATGGATATACTAATGGCTTGTCCCATCTCCTGTATCTCCATCTTTCAGACCTCTTCCCCACAGCCTGCACATCTGTCCATGCTGTGAAAGGTACCAGACTGTGCCATCTACCACTGCTGGAGACCTGGAGGCACTCTCCTCTCAAAAAAAAAGGTTTATACACATTCATTTGGTTCTCATCTCCTCCAGTTAAGTCCTTTTGTTAGGGCCTTTATATCCCTTCCCATGTCCTGAAACTTACTCTCTATAAGTGCTAAGCACCGTACCCAGAACCTTGGTCGGTTGTCTGCTTTTGCTCGGAAAGACTTCCTTGTGGGAGAACGCCATCAAAGAATGGGTTGGACATGCACTTTGAATGACACTATTGATAATTTTAGTGCTCACTGTTTATATAGTAACCTAGTTTTCATCCACAAAGTGTGCCCTGGATTCACTGTGCTCCTCAGCAGTCAAGGTCTAACCAGCTCTTAGGACTGTCAGGACAATACCAAGCCTTGCATGAGGGCAGCTACAGGGGCAGAAAGAAATCAGTATTTGCTACTTCTCTCCTCCCACCTGTGTTACTCTGTGAAACAGAGAAAGTCATTGGACTGCAGAGACAGAAAGGGACGAGAGGAACTTTAAGGGTTATCATGTGCGGAAGGGATGTGGGGATTCTGTCCTCAGGGTAATTTCTGTGTTTTTACACTAAGCAGACGTTGGGAAAATGCTGGTCTATCAGCAACTGAGGCTTATCTTCAGTGTTCGAAAATTTGGTATGCAGTATGCTTTTGTAAATTATATCAGACATCGCTTTCCTTTTATGAGAACTGTCTTTTCTTGGTAGATAATTTTTGTATTCGTTTAAAAAAAAAAGAGTTGGCAAAGTTTGCGGGACTTTTTACCATGTTAACATGCTACAATGTTACTGAAATTTAGTAGTATCACTAAAATACATTCAAAGCTTTCATGTAAGTTGTGGAACTAAATGATTATGTAAGAGATGTTGACATGATTTCACTTATGGAGCTTTACCGTATTAGAGGATCCACTGTTACTCTGTGACAGCTACTTCACAAAACAAACTGTCTCTGCTCTGCAGGAACCTTCCCCACCAGTAACCTTCCATGCTTCTTTTTCCTCCAACTTCAAAATACATCATAGTTTATGTCTGTTATATTAGATTTGCTAATAACATTTGCAATACAAGAATAATATTATGTATTCAGCTTGCAGATATCTGTTA